CCTTCCCGCTGAAGCGCCGCTGACGCTCGGCCTCCCACCGAAGCACCGCTGACACTTGACATTCCCGCTGAAGCGCCACCGCCGCATGCGCCTCGCGCGTTGGTTCCTACGACCCACATGCCCACCCCGCACCACTGCCCGCGTGCCCTAGGGCACGCTGCACGGCTTGCCGCACACACCTGCTAGCATGCCCTTCGGCCCACCAGCAAGCCCACACCCACTAACATGCCCTTCGGCCCACCAGTGGGCCCATGCCCGTTAGTGTGCCCTTCGGCCCACCTATAGGTCCACGCCCATGCCGACTGTGCCACGCCCTAAGACGATGACTTCTGTGACTCTGGACTAGGATCGACCATCGATGCTGAGCATTGCTCTTCACTAGACGTCTCTACCTTCGTTGAATCTTTGTTCCATCACGATCCACTAGGCTACACAGCCCCGAAGGTTAGCTCTGTACCCCTTCCTCTTAAGTTTAATTATCTCTCGAAGGGTTTTCTCAGCTCATCTCTACCGCTATCAGGAGAACATAGACAAGATAGGATGGTTATCAGATTGTGACTTCTGACACTGTGCTACATTTGTCACCGATCGTGAGCTGCAGCCCTAGGCTACCTCACGACGATTGTTTTGTCGTCTGTCCGGATGTGGACCGAGAGGGCCTCAATTACCATCGTCGAGTGTTTCTCCGAGTTGTCCTGGGTTGATATTACATATTGGTACGCCTACCTATACTTAGGTTACGTGGTTAGACCTAGAGTCTAGGGTCCAGACATTCTTATCGGATTGATCCGACTACCCTATCCTGGGTCTCAAGTTTTATTGATAAGATACAAGGGTTCTTGCCCCATCCTACATCAGAATATTCCAACATTTCATGCTACTAGATTATTCTTTTAACTCAATAATAATCTTCTTAGTATCTTTTGGTATCAATCAATTTAATTGATTTAATTTTTCATGTATGCAATATGATGCAAGAAATTTGTAAATTAGATAGTTCTAATAGTTCTATTTTCTATTTTTAGTTCTAGTTTTAGTAATAATAAATTTGTCAAAAATAAATCAAAACTATCCTCTTTATAGTTGTAATTTCGAATTTTAGTAATATATGTTTAGGGGATTGAAATGTGAGAAAAAAGTCTCTAGAATTTCAAATTTCGGGATGTTTTTTGTTTGCTATTTTTGACAGGGTCTTGTCCCTGATAGAAAACCAGAAAATAGATATTGTAGTTTACCAAATTTTATTTTATTTGTATTTTTTCAGTTGCTATTCTAATACAAACACATGTTCTTAATCATCCTATAGCATAAATTAATAATGAATACTTCATCCCCCAACTTAAAAATGACATTGTTCTCAATGACACAGAAAGTTCAAAATAGAATATGTAGAAAATATAATTTTCAAGTGAAGCATGCATATGTACAAAGTTAAGCATTAAAAATATTTTCATAAATGATAAAGCTCAAAAAGACATCACCTCAACCTCATTTTTAATTTTCCACTTCATCTTACACTTCTCTTGCACTTTTTTTAAAAAATAAATACATAAACAAATACTACAAAATTCTAAGAAAAATAGAGCTTAGAAAAAAAATCAAGCAAAATGAAATAAAAACCATGGGTTGCGTCTCATGCAACACTAAATTTAATGTCTTTAGCTGGACAACTCTTAGATCATATAAGATGATCTATGGCCATCAAAATATATTTGTATCCCAAGGTAAGTTTCATGATATTCTTTTTCAGATTTAGCATAAATTCATATACTTTATATATACCTTGACATACTTTTAGTCAAAACAAAATAGAAATTAACAAAAAATTATCAAAAATAATATTTTTATTTTAAAAAAAATCTTTCCTCATTTCTATCTTGTTTTGTAAGACTCTCATTCATTAATAAATACTTTCTATTAATAGATCATAAAATATGATTAGGCCATATAATTTTCAAATTAGCTCTTACACAATCTAAATTTTTTTCATCTAAATTGATATATCTAATTCTTCCACTCATCAATTTCTTAATGTGTTCTTTTATCTGCATAATCTTCCCCTACTCCATTTTATCTTTCATACATATTTATTCAATTTGCGAGGAGTGAAATATTTCAAGCTTAGAAATAATTCTAATAGGCTATGGGTTTTGAAGGATTGAAGGATTGAAGGATTGTCTTCTTTAATCTCAGATCTAATAAATTCAGTAAAATTCAAATTTGCTCCTCCAAAATTATCTCTATATTCATATTCATTATTTTCGTTTCTCCTCATTAGTTGAATCAACTCTTTTTCTAACTTTTCGTTTCTCAACTCATCAAATTCTTCATCTTCCCAAGAGTTATTTTTTAATTTTAGTATATGATATACATCATCATCTTCACTATCAACATCCATGGTTGTAAAATTATGATTAGATTTATTAATTTCGTCTCCTACATCTCCCAAATCAATTGATTTTTCCTTACCTAAAATAGATTTTTCTTCATTTCTGTCCTTAGTCCCTTCTACTTAAATTTGGATGATTTTTCCATAATCAGCTGCTCCAAAATTTGCTCTTTCTTCATCTAGGTTTCTTTTTACTCATCATCTTCACTATATTTATTCATCAATTGTGAGCAATAAATGATTTTATTCAATTTTTCTACTACTATATTTTCGACCTTACTCCCTTCTACTTAAATTCAAATTTGCTCCTCCAAAATTACTCTTTCTTCATCTAGGTCTCTTTTTTCTCATCATCTTCACTATATTTATTCATCAATTGTGAGCAATAAATGATTTTATTCAATTTTTCTACTACTATATTTTCGATCTTAATATTCTCATTTACTTCTAATGGATCATCAATTTCTTCTAATAATTAGAAATAAGGATCAATATATTTACTGTCATAACATTTTCATTTTGTGGGTTTTTTTTAGATTCATGCTACTAGACTCCCCTTGCTGCAATCCTATTGTTGGACGGTTCCCTAGATTTTCTATAGGCTGATTAGGTAATTGTCTCTCTTCTCTCTTATTCCAAGAGCCTCTATAATTTATTTCTGATGCAACATCATTTGGTTCATAGTTTGTTGCATCATTTGGCTCATTTGCTACATCATTTCCATAGCATCAGGTTGGATTTGAGAGGACCGATTTTTCTGAAATCTATGTTCTTGTTTTGAACGAAATTTAAAATTTGAATTAGATCTAAGTGCTTTTAGATTTTGAATATTATTTGGGTTTCTCCACGAAAAATTATTCCTCCAATTAGGATTATAAGAATTAGAAAAATATTTCTTATTTTTACTAAAATCGTGGGATACCTACACTTGTTCTTGCCTATGATGATATTGAAATTTTAAATGATCATTTTTACCATACATAGGACATGTACTACTTGAATTAAATTGAGGGTTAAGAGGCTTTCTAATATTGTCAATAAGTAAATCAAGTTTTTCTAATCTTTCATTAATCTGATTAACCTCATTTGTAAATTTAGAATCATCATCATGATGCAATTCATAAATTCTTCTCTTCTTATCCCTATCATATAATTCAAAAGAAACTTAATCTCTAAAATTTTCACTTAAATTCTCATAAAGACTATAAATCTCATCAGAAGTTTTCTCCATAAAAGTTCCTCCACATATAGAATCAATCATATTTCTATGTTGTTCTAATAATCTATTATAAAAAGTTCTATTGAGTTGCCACTTAGGTATAGCATGATGAGGACACTTATTAAGTAAATGTTTGAATGTTTCCCATGTCTCATGTAAAGTTTCTTCTGATCTTTGAGGAAAACTTCATATATGTTTTCTCAAGTTTTGAGTTTTTCTTAAGGAATAAAATTTTCGAAGAAAAGCCTATTCTATGTCTTTCTCTATCTAATGTGAATAGCTAATGGCTAGCTTTGTCTCTAAGTATATGAAGAAATAATTTCATCTTAATAATTTTTGGTGTAACTTGAGGGAGATTAACTAAATCACAGACCATATGAAATTTTTCCAAGTGCTAATGAGATTCCTCTAAAGGCAATCCATGAAAATTAGGGAGCATTTGAAAAATTCCTAGATTTATTTTGAATTTAAAAGTGGGTGCTAATGGGACTTTAATATTGGATGCTCTTTGAAATGAATCAGAGATATAATAATTTTTCACGGCCATAAGGTTGTTCTCAGTTTGACCTCTACTTCCTTCAAGATCCATCAAAATTAATTTTTCTTTCTGATTTTTAGTTTTGAATGAAATAATGAAAGGATTTTCTAGCCTTGGATGCAAGGATCTTCTACCATGCATAAAAAAATCAATAAATTAGACATAAAAGTTTAGTAATTATTACCCTCCTTTAGTATGCTCCAGTCCTTGCCTTGCTTCTCTTTGTTCCCTTTAAAAAAAAAAAAATGGCAAAAATAAAATAAAATAAGAGTTGAATTTTTTGTGTACTCTAAGAGAAAAATAGAGAAATACTAAATATTATGCAATACATCCATTGCTCTTAGCAATGGTGCCAAAATTTGACGTGACTTAGTCATCTTACTGTAAATCACATAAATTTAAAATTTAAAATTTTCGATCTTAATATTCTCATTTACTTCTAATGGATCATCAAAATTATTTTAAGATAATTAATTTTAAATAATTATGCATGAAATATTTTTTATGTGAGTTTTAGGATTTTCTAAATTTTATCCTGGATTTTTTGAAATTTTCTAGAATTTCTCATAATTTCTAAGAGGTTTTGATATAAAGGTCTAAAATAAAAGAAAATCAGAATGAGTTGGGCTGGGCCGAGCCAAGTGACCCAATGGGCCGGAATATTCAGAGGCTAAAAGTTAAACCATCAACAGGTCGACAGTGGAAGCAGAACCGACGAGTTGGCATGACACTTAAGCAGATGTGGGACACGTGGCCCACACGGGTTCGACGACATTTCAACGGACATCGTGAACAGAAATTGGCACAATTTACGTCAGACCTCAAAGAGAAATGTAATTGGAGATCCGTACCTAATGGCAGAACGTGAAAGAAGAGCGGGTGATAGAGTAAGGCTGTCATTGATCTCTCTTTCTTTCGCGCCTTTTCTCGCTCCCTTTGTCTGTCTGCTCTCTCTCACTCTATCTTGCTCTCGCTTTCTTTCTGTGGATGCGTCCTCGCTCTACGAAGCACGGCGGAGTTCGGACAGCCTGCCGCCTTCTCCTCTCCTCTCCGTCGAGTTCTTCTGGAACCCTTTCTCGTGCGCGAATCCGGAGGAAGAGTGGGAGGCCGCATCCGGCGGAGGAGTCCACCGCCGAAGACGCCGAGGTCACGGTCGGCGCCGCCTCACGGAGAGGTCGTACGTTCCCAGGCTTCTGCTTCCCTGAAAGGCCGCTCCGGGTATGTTCTAGTGCCGTCTTTCGACGAATTCTCGCCTTTCGTTGATTCGGGGGTTATGTTCTAGTGCCGTCTTTCGATGGGTTCGTGATTTTCTGTGTCGGGGGCATCTTCTTGTGGACTCTTTGGATGGGATCTTTATTTTCTTTGATTTGGACTTTCGGTTGCCTGCGGTGGTGCGGGTGGTGCGAGATTGCTGAAGAAAGCTCTGGCTTTCCTCCTTCCTCTTATTTATTTACCTTCTTCCGATTTGTTTTGCCGCTTCGTTGCTGATTCGATTTGATGTTTGGTCTGGGTAGGGGGATCTATCTTCTTCTTTAGACTTCCATCCGATTGCTCTTTGGGGACGGATGAGTGTTACCGTCTGGAGGAGAAAAGATTATTTCAGCAAGGTTTATCGATTGACGGTGACGGGTGAGCGTGTTGAATCAAGGGGCACATTCGATTTTCGGATCGCTGAGCGATCGACCAGTTTCTGGAGAAGAACCCGGTGATTTCCGGCAGGAAACAACACCCTCCGTACCTGCAGCTCTCCCGAGCGTTATTCCCCACCCAGAAAAACCATCAGAACTTGGTGGCGGGCTGTCCTGTTGAGAAAGCAGCTGGAATCGAGGGAGGAAGTGTGGACGAGGTTGTCGGGCTACAGGAGGAAGCGAGGATGTCTCCCATCCCGGATCGGGTACATGCTTCGACGTCCCTCATTCCTTTCCTTGACGGCGACTGTAGAGAGCTTTCTCTCTCCATCCCAAAGCACATCACATCTTGACAATAGGAATGTCCTATCCAAAATCGACAGGTGCAGGTCGGAAATTCTCCATTATACAAGGTAGAGAGAATGTTGGGTGCAGGAGGTTTTGGGCTGGTCTACATTGGACGAAGGGTGGCTGGTGGATCTCAGGGCGATGGGCCCAATGCCTTTAAGGTTTAGTTTCAACCTCCCATCACTCCTGCCAAGGGAATCTTTAAATACTGCTGTTTTATGTTGTCTCTTTCATTTTCCTGCGGTGGGTGTAGGTAGCACTGAAGTTTGAGCATAGAAATAGCACGGGTTGCAGATTTGGCCCCCCATATGAATGGCAAGTTTATGAGTAAGAAGACACCCCCTACTGCTCTAATTTATTACGTATTGTGTCGATCTAAAACTACGTTCTTCATCTGACTTTGTGAATATGGTTTTAGCCATCTCAAGGGATGCTATGGATTGCCTAGGGTGCACTACAAGGGCCGCCAAGGAGATTATTTCGTCATGGTTGGCGTAGAGTCTTTCATTTTATTGTTTCCTCGAATTATGTTTTTTATTGAAAGCTAATTATGATATTGTTGATGATGATTGCTGCAGATCATGGACATCCTTGGACCAAGTCTCCTGGATGTGTTCATATCCATTGGGCAAGTGTAAGAAAATAATCTTGACTTCATATTCAAAGTCAATATTCTGTTGAGAATTGTGCTATTGAGTTTGACTAACTCCTTGGACAGAATGCCACCAAATATGGTGGCTTGTATTGCTGTGGAGGCAATATCCATCCTTGAGAAGCTACACCAAAAAGGGTACGTATGGCTTTGTGGCAGTGTGATATTTTTTCAATTAAATTTTTGCAAAGGTCACAGTAATCAATTCATTGCTCCCTTGTGCACTCCCCTCCCTCCCTCCACCCACACAAAAAAAAAAACATGCCAGGTTTGTGCATGGAGACGTCAAGCCAGAGAATTTATTGTTGGGTAAACCCGGAAGCTCAGGGGAGAAGAAGCTTTTTCTCATCGACTTTGGGCTGGGTATGTTGCTGCATTCCAATCACTTCTTGTTTTCACCTTTCGCACCTATTGATTTTAGAGTAGGGTTTGTTTTTCCAAGTATATAAACAAATTCGTCTTGACTGAGAAGTCCCTGTCTGTATCAACATCAGTGATATTTTTGTGCTTTGTTCAGAGCCTGTACAAATGCTAATTGGTGTCATTAATATTTTAATCAGCTTCAATGTGGAGGGACAGTTTGTCAGGCCAGCATGTCAGCTTATGCCAACAGCCAGATAATTTCAGGTTTTTTGGGAAACGATATTCTATTTTTTCCCTAAATTCTTAGCTAAGAGGAGGATTCATAAAATCTTACCCCTACCTTACTATCTATCTCATGTTCCCTAGGGGCACAACACGATATGCAAGCGTCCATGCACATTTAGGCCTCACAGCGAGTAGAAGAGATGATCTTGAGTCATTGGCCTACACTCTGATTTTTTTGATTAAAGGAAGGCTGCCGTGGGAAGGCTATCAGGTTTGCTTTCACCTCTACTTGTACATGTTCTCCCATCTCTTTGATTGATCACTTGCTGATTCTTATGCCAACTATGTAGGGGAATGACAAGAGGTTTCTAGTCTTCATGAACAAGACTGTAACCTCCCCCGAGACGCTGTGTGGTGGCTGTCCCCCTCCTTTTGCACAATTCCTTGAAGCAGTGAAGAAGATACAATTTGTTGAGCAGCCCACCTACTCGAAGCTCATTTCTCTTTTTGGAAGCTTGATATGCCCCCCCTGCACCCTGTTAAAGACCATTCGGATTGATGCAATTTTGAAGGTGGTTGCAAACATGACATCACTGAAATTACCTCACATATTTTTATTTTATGTCAGATGGTTTTATCTCTTTTTCATGGCTCTATCATCTGTTGTTAAATAGGCTGACCATGTTTCCAACAGGTTCACCAAAAACGTGGAAGATTGCAGGTAAATAATGAAGAAGATGAGTGTCATAGAAAGAAACGGATAAAATGTTTGATTGATGATCAATCAATCAAACATTTTATCCATTTCATAACCATGTACATGTAAGAATATAAATAAAATCTGTAAAGTGCCAATTGAGAAAACATAAATCTCATGACTAAATTATTTATTATTATTGTTCTTATTTATTCATAAAGAAAATGATAGTTTAAAAGCCTGATATTAAGGGCATGAATATAATACTTTTTTAATGTAATCATAGCTATTGATAAAGGTGTGTAATTAATATTTATGCAAAAACAGAAACTATATCAATCAATGATAATAATACAAGACAACCATTTAGAGGGCGTGAGTATAAGTAGTATAATATCACAGTTACTCTTGCTAGGAATATGTATCATTTATTGCCAACATTTAAACTTTAGAAATGTTTTGTACCTACTATCTATTCACCTTGGAAATGGCACCACTTTGGACGTAACCTATTGAGTACAGGAATATAATATGTTTAAGTACGTTCACACTTACAAATTATCAGAAATAATTATTAGACCGATAAATGTAAATTTTATGCATAAATAATGAATATTACTTTTTTATAAGAAAGCTGGCACATAAAAATACAGTATTAAAGGGAAGAAATCTAATATTATTTCATACAATCATAATGATTAGTTGCAATGAATAATTACTATAGTTTACCAAAATGAAAATTTTATCAGTAAATAAATGAACACTACAAGTATTGGATTAAATGGCACGAATTTGATAGTTTAGGTTATATTTATAATTACTAATCACTATGATTAAAATTATTTATTAGAATATGTAAAGTTATGAAGAAATAAGAATTATGTATTGGAAGCTTATGTGTCCACCAAAGGACACACATCCACCCCATAATGTGTTTAGAACCACATGTAGTCCAAAACTGAAAGTAATGTAATGTCATAATTGGTTCCCATCATAGTAAAAGTATGATTTCTTTAGTGATGATCTAAAAATTAAGAAGCATCTAGATTCATAGAAGATTGGGTATATAAAGAGGAGTTTGAAATAAAAGTCACATAGTTATGCTTTGTAATGTTTTCAATTTGAAAAGCATATCTTGACAAAGTTAAATCTTATATGATTCACATGAATGAATGTCATCGTATATACTTTTTATACATTGCACCCTCTAGATGTTTTCCTAAACTTGAAGAAAAATGTACCCATCGTCAAATCTTGATTCATTCTATTGATGAGTGGAAAATAAATTTCTTGTCTAAACTAAGACTTTAAGCATAAGTAGGAAGTTATTGTATTAACAAGTGTGCCGACCATCACATTTATGAGGATAATGAATTAATCATGGAAAGTATTTATTGAAACAAATTATTATCTATTTTGACTGTAGTCTAATGTACAATTGTAATTAAGAGTTACATAATTCTATATGCGACCCCTATTAAATGTTTTTGAGCCAAATCTATATTGTATATAAATTTGTATATAGTTTTACACATATAAAATGAGATTTTTGCCTTTTTAAGAGTACACGTTCAATATTTTCAAGTAAATTGATAATATTTTCAAGTACAATATTTTTACCTTTATTATTTGTTAATATAATGCCTTTTTTTGTCATAATAGAAAACCACTGATAAGTTTTCATTATCATGAGTTAATAATTAGTAAATAACTCATGATAAATAGACTTATATTTTTTTTAAATTATGAAAAATAGTTTTCAATTGATTAATGTAATTTTTTTAGCTAATTAGATAATTTTTTATGCATTTATATGATTTTTATAATCCTATTTTTTGAGATAAATCAAGAAAAAGAAATTAAAAAAAAATATAGCAAAAAAGAGGGGACCCGTCAACCAACCAGGCCTATAAGTAGATTAGAAGTGTAGTCGGGGGGAGCCACGAGCAAGGGCTTGGGTGACTAGGACCAATGGAGGCATGTGTGCACCACTCCCCTTCCACGTCGCTGGTGGCCAGCCAAGTCTTATGTAAGGAGTGGTTGTACATGTGAGAGAAAAGTACTCATTACTTGTAAATGTGATATTACTATATATTTGCTTAAAACATTGGCGCACAAGTGATGTGGGACTAAACCCACATCACACCTTTCCTTGAAAGGCTTTGACGATTTTAATACCTAAATTACTCCTTAATTATAATAGAGATATACTATGAGGACGTCACTTGATAAGGGCATTAGAGTACTTATTTCAATCTCTCTTATATAGGTGGACAATCAGCACGGGTTTGAATCCTCCTAGAGCCCAATGAAAGATTATCTCGACTTTCCTATAGATCACCAGTGAAGGATTAAGCCATTAAAATTGTTAGGTCATTGACAAAAATCTTGTCAACACAATTCACAAAGCATTATTACTAAAATTGCTGAAAACGATTCGCGATAAAAGGATCATGAATCTATTGAGTAAATCATCTCTGATTGATCGATGAACAAGCTGTCATCGAGAAGAGGACAATCTGTCGTGAGATGAGTCATCACCTCCTGAGAGCATACTAGATGCGATGAAAAATCTCCTCTTACTACACAGACCTGAGGATGAAGCTCCTTAACATGCATCCCACCTCCATCTAGCTCTTCTCCATCAGGTGACAGCCACTAGAGAGTCACAAAGTCTTCATTTTTTTGCTCTGCTAAGTGACGGTTGTCGGAGATAATTTGATGATCCATTTCATTGATCTCTAAACTTTGCATAGATATCTAGAGATTGCCCACATCGTCCTTGTTCAAGGAGAGCCTTTGAGGCTCTGGACACTACACGACAATCTTCCCGAATACTCAAAATTCTTGTGCATCATCGACACATTATTACCGTGACGTTGGAATTTTATTTTTCTACTTTCAACTTAACTTTTACTTCATTTAGTGATACTTTGTGTGATTTAAATTTACCAAGCTATATTTGATTCAATTACGATTTTTCTACCTTTTACAGGTCTTAATTTGATTAATTAGATCATTTGTAATCGCTTACACAAGAATCACTAGGCAGAACTTTGTTCCTGTTTGATTCGCGTTTGTCAGGCACTAACGTCATCCTAACATCCGCACCCTTATTTCCTTTTTTCACGAATTGAAGTATATTTTATTTTCATTTCTCAGTATAAAATTCATAAAAAAATTATATTCTTTGAGAAAAATACTAAAAAGTTACCCAATATTATATTACATCTCTGTGATCGACTTAAAAAATTACCACTATTTTTGTAAACTTAATTGAATTATAATTAATATATTTGTTTATAAATACTTCTAAATATCTAAAAATTAGTATTTTCTAGTTTTATAATTTTTAAATTTACGTGATTTATAATACAACAACTAAGTCACGTCAAATGGTTTTTCACCTTCCTATGGAGATCAAACATAAGGCTTATTAAGTTATAAAGAATCTTAATCTTTCTTTAGATGCCATAGGTAAGCACCATATGTTGCAATTGCAAGAGCTTCAAGAACTACCCAATGAGATGTACGAGAAGTCTCTAATTTACAAAGTAAAAATGAAGGCTTTTTATAACAAGAAGGAGAGCAGAAAGAGTTTTCATGAGCATCAAAAAGTTTGGCTTTACAATTCTCGATTGAAACTATTCCTCGAGAAATTAAAATCTAGATGGGATGGACCATACCTTGTGATTAAAGTTTTTGACTATGGTGCAGTATTAATTGCAGATCTGAAAACTAGTAAAAATTTTAATGTGAATGGGCAAAGATTAAAACCTTATTTAGAAAATGAACCCTCCTTCTCTACCCATTTCCACTCAATTATATGATCCATCCATTGAACCTCAATCTTCTTAGAACTTTCTCTCCATCATGTACTCTAAGATGGCATAGCTTTCTTTTCCACTACATTCCATTTTTATTATTTTTCTCTATCCTTTGATATTTTTCTTGAGTTTTTATTAAGTGAACAGATCAAGCATTCTAGAGGAATTGCATATCATGACACAGATTAATACAAAAGAAAATCAGAAGGATGAAGAGTGAAAATCAGTTTGCACATTTAATGCTTTCTCCTTTTTCTCTTATATAGATATATTGAGGACAATGCGAATGGTCATTTGGGGGGGAAGAATAAATGCATGAGGGTGAATACATGAGATTACATCAGGTGCTATAGTGCTTATAACTAAATCATGAAGTTCATCATCTTTCATGGTGCATATAACCCACACTCTTAAATTGAGAAAATCTACTTTGGTCTTCTGCCGGATTTATGTTATGAATTCTTATTATTAACTATGAGTAGTAAATTGAATCTTTCTCTTTCTTGATCAATACTCAGTCAAAAAAATTTCAAATTATTTGATGCTTTTACAAATCATTAATCATCATTAAACTTGAGACAAAAGAATAAAACATGGTAAAGATTACACTAGAAAAAATAAAATAAAATTGTAGTAGCACCTTAGCTGATTTCGTGGGGCTTCCACATGTGAAATTAGGATCAACAAGGCTTACAAAATACTTCTTGTAACGATTCTTCTAGCTTTTACAGATCTTAATTTGGCTAACAAAATTGTCTATAATCGCTTATGTAAAAATCACCAGGTAGTTTTCTATTTCTACTTGGTTTGCATTCATTAGGTGCTAACATCATCTTGACATCTACACCTTTATTTTCTTTTTTCACAAATTTTAAATATATTTTATTTTCTTTTTTTAGTTTAAAATTCATAAAAAATTGTATTCTTTGAGAACATTTATGAAATATTACTTGATATTATATTAGATTCCTATGATTGGCCTAGAAAATTTTCACTATTTTTAGACCTTTGATTAAAATATAATTAATATAATTATTCAAAAATACTTCTAAATATCTAAAAATTAGTATTTTCTAGTTTTATAAATTTAAAATTTGTGTGGTTTACTAAACAAGGGATATTTTAGATATTAAAATTATTAAAACTTTTTGGAGGCTATGACCCTTGGTTTAGTCCCACATTGGTTATATGCTGAGTTTTGAGGTTGATATATAGTAATACTAGACTTGATAATTGATAAGTCTTCATTATCATGAGTTAATAATTAGTAAATAATATGGTTTTAGTCTTAACTCATGATAAATAGACTTATATTTGTGTTAAAGTGTGAAAAATTATTTTTAGTTGATTAACATGAATTGTTAGGTAATTATGTGATTTTATATAATTTTATATGATTTTTATAGTCTTACTTTTGAGATAAATAAAGAAAAAGAAATTAAAATAAAAATAAGACAAAATGGGGGAACCTTCTAGGCCCGCAAGTAAGTCAGAAGTGCAGTTGGGGAGTAGCCATCAGTAGGGGTTCGAGTGGCTTGGACCAATTGGGCACATGTGCGCCACCCCCCTTTCATGTCACCGGTGGCCAGCCGACTGTGAGGCAAGGAGTGGTCATACACGTGTGAGAAAAGGACTTGATCGAAAATATAGTATTACTATATATTCACAAGAAATTTTAGCACACAATTGATGTGGGACTTTTTTAACCCCCGTCACACCTCCCTAGAAAGGGCGAGGGGGCAATCAGTGCAAGTTTGAATCCTCCCAGTGCCAAAATTCATATTTTGTTTATTTGTTTATCGTGACTTTCCTACAGATCACCGATGAAGGATTAAGCAACCAAAATCACTAGATCATTGGCAAAAATCTCATCAATGCAATTCGTAGAGTATTGTTACTAAAATTGTTGAACGATTCACGATAATAAGATCGTGAATCTATCGAGTAACTCATCTTTGATTGATCGACGAACAAGCTATTATCAGGAAGAGGACGATCTGTTGGGAGACAAGTCACCACCTCCTAAGAGCATACCAAATGCGATGAAGAGTCTCCTCTTGTTGTGCGGATCTAAGGATGAAGCTTCTTGACATGCGCCCCACCTCCATCCAGCTCCTCTCTGTCGAGTGACAACCACTAGAGAGTCGCAAAGTTGCTGTTTTTTTGCTCCGTCAGGTGGCAGCCACCAGAGACGATTCGACAAGCCATTTTATTGATCTCTAGACTTTGCAAGGAGATCTAGAGATTGCCCACATCGTCTTTGTCCAAGGAGAACCTTCAAGGCCATGGACACTACACAAAGATCTTCTAGAATGCTCAAGATTCTAGTGCATCACTGACGCATCACCGTTGTGATGTCGAAACTCTGTTTTCCTACTTTCAACTTAATTTTCCTTTCAGTTAGTGATAATTTATTGATTTTAAATTTACAAAGATATACTTCATTTCATTACGATTCTTCCAGCTTTTCTAGATCTTAACTTGATCAATTAAATTGTCTGTAATCGCTTATGTAAAGAATCACCGAGCAGAACTTTATTTTCGCTCGATTTGCATTCCTCAAGCGCTGATATCATCTTGACGTCTACACCCCTATTTCTTTTTTTTGTGAATTTTAAATATATTTTCTTTTCATTTACTAGTATAAAATTTATAGAAAATAGTATTCTTTGAGGTCAATTTTGAATAATTACCAGATATTATATTACATCCCTTTGATCGACCTAGAAAATTACACTATTTTAGGAAGTTTTATTAAATTATACTTGATATATTTATTCAAAAATACTTCTAAATATCTGAAAATTCGTATTTTCTAGTTTTATAAATTTTAAATTTACGTGATTTACAATACGATGACTAAGTCACGTCAAATTTTGACACCATTGCTAGGGATGTATTGCATAATATTTAGTATTTTTCTATTTTTCTCTTAGAGTACACAAAAAAATTTAACTCTTATTTTATTTTCTTTTTGCTAATTTTTTTTAAAAAAAAGGGAACGAAGAGAAACAAAGCAAGGACCAGAGCATACTAAAGGAGGGTAACAATTACTAAACTTTTCCCTTGAATTTATTGATTTTTTTATGCATGGTAGAAGATCCTTGCATCCAAGACTAGAAAATCCTTCTATTATTTCATTCAAAAATAAAAATCGAAAAGAAAAATTAATTTTGATAGATCCTAAAGGAAGTACATGTCAAATTGAGAACAATCCTATGGTCATGAAAAATCATTATATCCTTGATTCATTTCAAAGAGCATCAAATATTAGAGTCCCATTAGCACCCACTTTTAAATTCGAAATAAATCTAGGAATTTTTCAAATACTCCCTAATTTTCATGGATTGCCTTTAGAGAAACCTCATCAGCACTTAGAAAAATTTCATATGGTCTGTGATTTAGTTAATCTCCCTCAAGTTACACCATAAATTATTAAGATGAATAGGCTTTTCTTCAAAAAATTTATTCCTTAAGAAAAACTCAAAATATGAGAAAACATATATGGAGTTTTCCTCAAAGATCAGGAGAAACTTTACATGAAACATGGGAAACATTCAAAGATTTACTTAGAAAGTGTCCTCATCATGCTATACCCAAGTGGCAGCTCAATAGAATTTTTTATGATGGATTATTAGAATAATATAGAAATATGGTTGATTCTATATGTGTAAGAGCTTTTATGAAGAAAACCCCTAATGAGATTTACAGTCTTTATGAGAATTTAAGTGAAAATTCGAGAGATCAAGCCTTTTTTGAGGAATATGTAGGATCAATATTATTCTTGAATGAGTATTGATAATTGAAACATCTTGTAAATATATCTATGAGTGAAGAAGTGATAAAGATGTGAATAGAAGAAGTGAAGTCTAGATTGTTATTCCAAAGAGTGTTTAAACATTTAAGTGCTTGACATCATTCTTAAATACTTGATATAAGAATCCAAAGTATTTAAAGGTGCATCATTTCTAATTATATACTTTTTTTTTTCCTATATTGAAATATGATATTTGAGATTTGTAAAATTTTATTTTCGTAATTCCATTGCTAAGGGACTAGCAATGATTTAAGTTGGGGGTGTGATAAGTCTTCATTATTATGAGTTAATAATTAGTAAATAATATAGATTTAGCCTTAACTCATGATAAATAGACTTATATTTGTGTTAAAGTGTGAAAAGAGGTTTTCAATTGATTAACGTGAATTTTTGGGTAATTATGTGATTTTATATAATTTTTACAGTCTTACTTTTGAGATAAATGAAGAACAAGAAATAAAAATAAAAATATTATAAAATGGTGGGACCCGCTGGCCAGTTGGGCCCACAAGCAGGTTAGAAGCACAGTCAGGGAGTAGCCGCGAGCAAGGGATCGAACGACTTGAACCGATGGGGGCATGTGTGTGCCACTCCCCTTTCACATCACTAGTGGCCAGCCGGCTGTGGGGCAAGGAGTGGTTGTACACGCGAGAGAAGGGACTTTGCTTAGAAAGCTAACATTACTATATATTCGCTTAAAAAATTAGCACACAGCTGATGTGGGACTAAACCCGCGTCACACCTTCCTCAGAAGAGGCGGGCGACTGACATAGGTTCGAGTTCTTCTAGAGTCAAAAGTCATATATTTTTATCTAATTATTGTGACTTTTCTGCAGATCGCTGGTGAAGGATTAAGTAACGAGAATCACTAGATCATCGGCAAAAATCTCATCAATGCGACTCGCAGAGCATTGCTACTAAAATTGCTGAAGGATTCGCGATAAAAGGATTGCGAATCCATCAAGTAAATCATCCCCGATTAATCAACAAACAAGCCGTCGTCAAGAAGAGGACAATCCGTCGAGAGACAAGTCGCCACCTCCTGAGAGTGTACCAGATGCGATGAAGAGCCTCCTCTTGCTGCACGGACCTAAGGATGAAGCTCTGTGACACATGCCCCACCTCCATTCAGCTCCTCTCCGTCGAGTGACACCTGCCGGAGAGCTGTAAAGTTACCATTTTTCCACTCCGCCGAGTGACAGCCACTAGAGACGACTCAATGACCCATTTCATTAATCTCTAGACTTCACGAGAAAATCTAGAGATTGCCCACGTTGTCTTTGTCCAAGGAGAGCCTTCGAGGCTATAGACACTGTATGACGATCCTCCCAAACACTCAGGATTCCGGTGCATCACCGACACATCGCTGTCGCGACGCCAGAACTCTGTTTTCTTGCTTTCAATTTACTTTATGCTTCATTTAGTGATAATTTTTGTGTTTTTAAGTTATCAAAATATACTTTGTTCAATTATGATTCTTTGAGCTTTTACAGATCTTAATTTGATTAATTAAATCGTCTATAATCGCTTACGTAAGAATCATCAGGTGGAACTCTATTTTTGCCTAATTCATGTTCGTCGGGTGCTGACATCATCCCGACATCGACACCCTTATTTCCCTTTTTTTTGTGAATTTTAAATATATTTTCTTTTCATTTCCTAGTATAAAATTCATAGAAAATCATATTCA